CAGGGCCCAAACCAAGACCCGGCTCGGACCGTTTTTGCCAGTTTTAACTAGCTTCTGCCGGGGTGGGCCTAGTAAGCCCTCCTTCAGGTTCACGTGGACCCTTTTTCAGGTTTATACCGAACACAGTAAGAAAACTAACCTATGCTAAAATCAATGTTTCGTAGAATAGGAACTCTTGCGCTGTGGTCAATGATTAAAGTAGACGATTCATTAATATCTCCAACAAATTCAACGGTTTGTCCCATCACAAGGTCTGTTCTAAAACAAAATACAATGGGACTTTTTGATAACGCACTGCTTGGGCTTTAGAATGCTTTTGTTATGAAACGCAAAAAAATGTTAAATGCACTGTATAATTGTGAACGAAGATTTAAAGTTATTCGTTATAAAGAAGTTTTATTATAAAGAAGTTCGTTATACAGTGGTTGCACTGTAAAATTTTACCGAATTATAGTGGAACTCCTAAATAACCATACCGCCGTATAACAAACTCCATTATGAAAAAAATTTCTGTAACAAGACTTCTGTATCGACTTTTAGCTCTTGGCCAATAGTACAAATTACATCAAACTTATAAAACAAAATTTCCTTATAAGATTATAACAAACACATCTAAAATTCCCGAAGAGTCCCACTGTAATCACCTAAATTTTTTATGAGCTTTAGTGTAACCATTGTTTACTAGAACGTCAACAATAGGATCTTTTTTTTCCCAACAATCATGATGAGCCTGTAAAAGTTTTAAATGTTATTACATTGAAACACGTGTATAACAAACTTTTGTATACGGAAAACCCAGTATAATGAACAGCCGTCAAAAATACCTATAATAAAAATACGAAAATTACCAAGCAATTAGTAATTTATAAGTTGCACTATATTTTATATGTTTAAAAGCACTTACTTCAAAGCGCAAGACAACTGCAAACACTGATTCTATTTCCAAAGCTACAGGTTCATTAACTAGTATCGCCCGATTAAGATCGCCTTTCGTTTTTTCTTTACCATAAACAATTAATGTCGACGAGTTGATGCTTACAGACAACAGTTTTATCGTTTCAGTATAAGGATCCAAAGAATCTATTTGTAAAGAATTTTGATATATATGTAGATTTATATCTATTATATTGGTTGTTTTTCCGTCAAGTCGTACAACAGTTCCACACTTAAGGTCTTCCATGACACTACGAAACCATGTCATATGCTTTGCGTCGTATAGTAAAAAACACATGGTTAAACAATACAGTCCGTTTATAATAAAGCTCATAATGCTTACAATTTGTGTTAGCAACGAGCAGTAGAAGTAATTTATTAAAAAACAATGAAACTTTGTTAAATGTTTATTGAGGGTAGCTTATCAGTTTCTAGATCCGGTTTTAAGGACAATTTAACAATGTTTACTAATCATAAAATGATTAGCAAGAAAAAACATTTAACAGTATTGTTTTTAAGTTTTTTTATGATAAGGCAGTTGTGGAAAAAAACGTGTATTGTTAAATAGGTATTCGATAACTAGTTAAAAAAAGCTAATATTTTAAAACATTTTAAGATTAGTTAGTTAACTGTTTGCCCGTTGACAGTCCTCTTAGTTTTTTATATAAGCAATACTTCCAACAAATTGATTCACAGAAGCTACGTCTTCAACAAATTCAACAGTGCCATTCTTTGTCAGATTTGTGTTAAAGTTGAATTCAGTATCTTAGTTTTACTGCTGCTTTAAAAGTGAATTTAGCATTAGGTGTTTGATTGTCCCAGCAATTGTCGAGAACCTAAAAGTATTTTAATTAAACTTTGTCTTCTAATTATGTTTCGTCTTACTGAAAAAAACTTTTTAAAAGGCATAAAAGAAGCCAATAGTGAAACTTACGCTATAATGTGAATCACATTATGTGATTGCAAAACCCGGGTATCCTGAAAATATCACATTTTTATTGATTGATACTTTAAAATCAAGATCGTTTTTCTTTCCTCTCTTCCTTACACTTTCTGACTCAAAGAATCGATCGACACTGTCAAAAGTTTTTCCTTAAAGGCCAAGTAGAACTCTATAATTAAGTTTTAAAATTATATTATTTTTTTTATTTCCTAAAATCTTCAATAATTTTTGTGTCATAACATTGTTTTCATAGCAGTAAAATGCAAGTAATACTTCCAAAACCCGACCTCAAATTGGCTTGCTCGCTCATTATCTTTAATTCTGATGACATTCCGCGAAGACTTTTGGTCTTCCTTTTTTCATTAAATCTGGCCACCCCACTTTTTCGGGAATTAATGGCCAAATGCGACACGAAAACAGAGTTCTACACTCTTTAAATCAGGCTAATGACTAAACATGGAGAATATTTTATATTTTTGGGTTGGTGGTTGAAGGGATGGCTGAAAAGAGAGGGTAGGGTTGATAGGATTGTGGTGGGAGCAGGTCGAGGAGGGTGATAAAGGTTAGAAGGTGGAGTAAAGAAGCTTTCAACCGTAGTTTGAAAATTTTTTAAGACAATCATTTTTAGGTCACAGCAGGATGTGCTCGACGTTTTTTAAACAAATGCTCTATAGTCAATACTATGACTTCTTTTGTTTTAGCCGCTTTTTAAAAAAGTTGCTATTTTGTGTTTTGTAAACAAAGTTCTTGATATTTCTTGTTCTGTAAAGAAAGTTCTTTCCATTTTTTATTTTGTAAAGAAAGTTCTTGACATTTTTGGTTTTGCAAGGACAGTGTTTGCCATTTTTTGTCTAGTAAAGAAAGTCCTTGCCATTTTTCACCATTTACTGCACTTTATACTTACTGACCATATTTCCAAACGTAGTAAACGTAAAAGTACTTCCAGTAAATATCTCATTACTTTAAGATAACACCACGTCGAAGTAAACGACCGTCCACAAGTTTCGTTTGATGGGAAAATAGCCGGCGGCCATTTTTTCGACAAACATATTTTAAAAGGACATAACGTACTGGGATTCAACAAGCGATTACCGGCTAAAAGCCCTCAGGGCTTCTTCGTTTGGCCGCCAAAAAAACATATTTCCACGCGCCACTTTAGTTAGCTCTTTGACCTTTTTGGCCGCACGCCACGAGCTTTTAACGGCCGAGTTTAATGGGGCTGGGTGGGGCGGGGGTGGATTATTTAAAAAATTTAGAAGTGGTGGTGGAAGGAGAAGTAAATGTGAAAGGGATTGGGCTTCGGTACACAGCTTTAGGTTTTAATATTAGGCTTTGTTTCAGATTTTAGACTTAGGCCTATATTTAAGCCTTACGTGTACATCTCAGGCTTATGACGCAACTTTAGGCTTAACTTCAGATCTTTAGCTTAGGTGCACATTTCAGGCTTAGGTACATATTTTTAGGCTTAGATACCCAGTTTAGGCTTGCGTTAACATTTTTAAGCTTAGGTAGACATTTATACGCTTAGGTACACATTTTTGGGCTTAGGTACACATTTTTAGGCTTAGGTACACATTTTTAGGCTTAGGTACACATTTTAGGCTTAAAACTGGCAGGGTGGAGATTTGACATAACATATCATGTAAAGTCAACCCTCTCCTTGTCACAAAGAGCGTACGAAAAAACAAAAACTGTCACAAAGTGGCATTAAATTTTTGCAAAAAAGGAGCGTTTAAAAAACAAAAAGTGACCAAAAGTAACGTTAACTGACTCAAATTTCTATGCCCGTTTGTTTTTATTCCATTGAAGTTGCAAAAACTTTCTTTCCAGTATCCTAAAAACCACAAAAAACTTTGTTTCCACTCAGTGTTCCCCGAACTTTTTATAATCAAGCGCGCCGTTGCTTAACTTGCCAGATCGGAAGGGATCGCGCTTTCGCACTGTGCAAAGAAGAAAAATGGCGCTGCACGGTGCGGAATTAATTTTTTTGCAATAAATTTGTTTACAATGATGGAAAATGGCATTTTTGGAAATTTTTGAGTTTTGGAAGAAACTTTCTTTACAGATTTTGAGAAGCTACGGATTTTTATTGGGGACTGGGAGCAAATTGTAATAACTTTTTTTACAAAGTAGAAAAATTTTTTTGGAAAAAACTTTGTTTTCAATTATCTTAAATGACATTTTTGAGGATTTTCATAGCTAGTCCATTTCAAAATTTCGAAATTTCGAACTTCAACTCATTCTTCACACTTTTTTCCGTCAAAAGTAAATGTTCCGCTTCATTTTTAAAAAGAACAGCACGTCCGAACATTGTCTTCGAATATTACATTTGAATATATTCATATTCAAAAAAGTTTTTTCTTACTTCGCGCCGTTTCAAAGGTTTTTTGCGAACAAAATTTGAGTGTTTTTCTTGGAAAAAGCGAAAATTGGGAGGTCAGGGACGATTAATATGTTATAAAATAATATTTACGCATCTTGAACACTGTGTTTTACTCATAATTCAAGGATCGAGATGTTTCTGAACATTTTTTTTAATCTTTAGAGGCACTGGAAAGAAAGTTTTTGCTATTTTTCAGTTTTTTATCAAAAAATATAGATATTTTTGGTTTTTTGTAAAGAAAGTTCTTGCAAATGCCTAAAAATTTTCAAAAACGTCATTTTAGGTCATTGTAAACAAAGTTATTGCCAGAAATTTAATTTCTGCACGGTGCAGTGCCATTTGTCTCTTTTGCACAGTGCGAAAGCGCGGTCCCGTCCGACCTGGCAAGTTAAGCAACGGTGCGCTTGATTATAAAAAGTTCGAGGAACACTGTGTGGAAACAAAGTTTTGGTAGTGTTTAAGACAGTGGAAAGAAAGTTCTTGCACTTTTTTATTTTGAGTTGATAAAAAATGTCATTTTTAATTATTTTTAGCCAAGAAAAGCTTTTTTTTGTAATTTTTGGCTCTTCTTTGCATTGTAAACAAAGTTTTTGCAAATTTTTTAAAACTTTTATGAGTTCAAACAAAAAATGTGATAATTTCTTATCATTCTCTCCACTGTTTTGAATAATATTGCAAGCAAGAACAGTGAACTCGTGCCTTTTGACTCACCTGATAGCTCCCAAAGAGTGACTCAACCTTATGTTATGTATGTATTTATTCTGGGAAAATTGTTATGAATTTTGAATGGCGATTTCTTAATGTCTTTTTTAGTCATTTCGTGCTTCAGGTAGAATAATATGGTCTGCTTTAGGGGTTTAACAATAAAAAGGGTTATGGATTGCCTTTTATAGTACTTTTGGTGGTTTATATAGAGGTATGGGGAGGTAAAGGGAGAAGGAGGGTCATTTTTTGTTTTGGAAAAAAAAGTTCTCGCTATTTCTTGTCTTGCAAAAAAAGTTCTTGCGTTTTTTAAATTTTTTGTATTTTTTGGAAAAAACTTTCTTCTTCAAGCTTAAAATGGCATTCTTATTCATTTTTTGAAGTTTCAGCTCTAAAAACTACCGGTAATGCTATCCTTTATAACCCCTAAAATAAAAAAGTGTAAAAACTTACTTTCCACTACCCTAAAAACCCGATAAGTTTTATTTCCACTCAGTGTTCCTCGAACTTTTTATAATAAAGCGCACCGTTGCTTGACTTGCCAGATCGGACGTGAACGCGCTTTCGCACTGTGCAAAAGAGACAAATGGCACTGCACAGTGCAGAAATTAGGCTTTTGGCAATAACTTTGTTTACTATGATAAGGAATGGCTTTTTTGGGAGAATTGTTTTTTTGGAAAGAACTTTCTTTACAAACTAATGTATGACAAAGTTTGTGTAACACGCTGGTAACGGGTGTTTGGTATGTCTCTTCATGGCTATTTGATTGCTGAGGCGAAACGATAGGGAAATTGAGAGGTCTGTTTGCACAATTATGAATCAAGGACAAGTTAAATAAAAGCGGTTTTTTCACGATTTTTATTATTATAGAAGCGTGATATCATCGTAGCGAGAGTATTAAGTTTCCTCGTATTTACTGTGTTATAGCGCGTACATATTTGTGGGTATTGACATTTTTTTGTTTGTAAACAACGTTTTTGCCATTTTTTGTTTTGTAAAGAAATTTCTTGCCATTTCTTGTTTTGTAAAGAAAGTTTTTGTCATTTTTTTCACTTTACAAACATTTTTCTGTCATTTCATACTTTGTAAACAAAGTTATTGCGGTTCTTATAAAAAAACCTGAAAACCTGTCGATTTTTAAAAAATTTTGTAAAGAAGGTTTCTTCCGAAACTCAAAAATCTTCAAAAACGTCTTTTTCTATCATTGTAAACAAAGTTATTGCCAAAAAATTAATTTCTGCACCGTGCAGCGGGATTTGTCTTCTTTGCACAGTGCAAAAGCGCGGTCCCGTCCGATCTGGCAAGTTAAGCAACGGTGCACTTGATTATAAAAGGTTCGAGGAACACTGGATGGAAACAAAGTTTTTGGGGGTTTTAGGGTACTGGAAAGAAAGTTTTTGCAATTTTTTATTTTGGGTTTGTATATAATGGCATTTTGGTATGCTTTTAGAAAAGAAAAGTTGAATTTTCGTCATTTTTTGGCTTTCTTTATCTTGTAAACAAAGTTTTTGCAAAAATTATTTGAACTTTTGGTGGAAGTGCATCTGGTTTTGACTTTTTTAATTTCGGTTTAATAGAATAGGTTATTTTTTTATTTTTGATAGATTTTTTTCTTTTTTTTTTGAGCTATTTCGTAGTTTACTATCATATAATAAGTATTATCGATCGTTACTTATCGTATTTTATATTTTTTCTATTTTAACTTTATACTTTAGATCTCAAACTGTTGATAACCAGAATTCACCGTGAAGACCTACAAGATTCCAGATGATGAGACGGTGGGTGGAGCGGTGGTAGCTCCGCCCATCCGCTTTGATCGCCAGTACTTTTTGGGCATTGCTTCTCATTTAAAAGTGTGCCAAATTGTAAATTAATCTTATCTTTTGTTATCAGAAGTTTAGAAAAAAGTTTCAAAAATAGATCGAAATTGGCTTATACAACAGAAATGGCAATAATTAGGCTTGAAAATCATGTTTAGGCTTAAGAATTGAATTTTAGTCTTAAATACTATATTAGGCTTAAAAATCAAATTGTGGGCTTAAGAGTTGAATTTCAGACTTTAATACCATTTTTAGGCTTAAAATTGAATTTTAAGCTTAAAAATTAGCTTTAGGCTTAAAATTAGTTTTAAGCTTAAAAATTGAATTTTAGGCTTATAAATCAAATTGTAGAGTTAAAAATTGAATTTTAGGCTTAAAAATTAGTTTTAAGCTTAAAAATTGAACTTTAGGCTTAAAAATTAGTTTTAGGCTTAAAAATTGAATTTTAGGCTTAAAAATTAGTTTTAGGCTCAAAAATTTTATTTTAAGCGCAAAAATTAAAATTTAGGCTAAAAAATGATTTATAGGCTTAAAAATTAAATTTTAGGCTTAAAACAGAATTATGGGCTTAAAAATTGAATTTTACTTTACAAACATACAAACTTTCAAAACCCAAGTTTTCAGTTACTAAACCTTCTCTCCTTATCAGTAATCTTTGCTTGTTATCCAAACTCCTTCAACGAATCATGTTTATGGAGGTTATATTCATCAAACCAACTGTTCATCATCGTCTGTGTGAACGGCTTCTTTTTCGTATTAACGACGTTACTTTGGTTGGCTAATGCGTTCAGCTTTCCGGATGCTTATTATCAATTTAACTTTCATATTCTGGTAAGTTGTTTAATGACAAAAATTTTATTTATTTCGTCTTTAATCTAAATTTAAAGTGTTAGAGTTGGCAGGCTGCTCCCGATATTGGAGGCGAATCTGCAGGCTGCGGGTGACAAGTTATACGGTGAAAGGTGTTTTTGGAAATTTTAAGCTTTAGAAAGGCCATTTTTCTTATTTTACACAAGAAAAATAATTGACGATTTGCGCCCTAGCTTAAAAGCGCGTTTTGCAGACTGCGGTTGGAAGTTATACGATGAAACGTATCTTTGGAAACCCTAAGCCTAAAAACGTCATTTTTTAATATTTTTTTACAAACAATTTTATTTTATTTCATTTTGCAAAAAAAATTAATTAGCAAGCTCCGCCCAAGCTTAAAAGCATGTTTTGCAGCCTGCGGTTGCCAAGTTATACGATGAAACCTGTCCCAAATTTAAAAATAAAAAAGTTTTAAAATAGTGAAAAATAACTTAAAAATGTATTTCAGGAACGACTACACGCTTTATTCGCAATGGCAATGTATGTTTTGGCAATTGGAATACTAGTCTGTACCAATACTAGTCATCACTTTTCGACCGTTTGGCTCATTGATTTGGTAGGTGCTTTACGCTTGTAAAGAAAGTTTTTGCCATTTTTCGTTTTGTGAAGAAATTGTTTGTCATTTTTTGTTTTGTAAAGAAAGTTTTTGCCATTTTTTGTTTTGTAAAGAAAGTTTTTGCCATTTTTTGTTTTGTAAAGAAAGTTTTTGCCATTTTTTGTTTTGTAAAGAAAGTTTTTTTCGATTTTTTGATTTTAAGTTCTTGCTTTTATAATTTTTTATTTGTAATTCGCGCGTACATTAGTTGAACCAACTTGTGTACGCGCGAATAATTCGGCCGTACACAAGTTTTCGTCAATATTGATTTGTAAAGAAAGTTCCTGTTATTTCTAATAAATTTTCATTTTCAGGCTGCTTTATTTACCACATTACTAGTCTACGCACTGGACTACTGGCGTCGGCGGAAAGACGACGGTATTCCAAGGCAACAACAGGCTTCTCGACGGCGTATTTTAGCCTAAAGTAACTTATAATTAATTACTGTTCTTAATTTACATTGTAATATTGAAGTTGAACACAGATATGTATCAAACAAAACATATTGTAATTGCATTTTTTTAAATTTTAGTATTTTTTTAATGATTTTGTTGTTGTAACATGACTAATATTGATCTCAATTTTAAATAAATAATTTATTTCTCTTTGGAATACTAGACAGGCTTTAAGGTAGAGTTTGGTACGGTGGGGTACAGCGGAGAACGCCGGGCTAGTTTAGGATAGGGCAGCATAAAATTGGGTTAGACAGTGTAAGGTAGAATGACACAAAGAAAAATAAAGTACGGCAGGGTAAAGAAGAGTAGGGCAAGGAAAAATTGGGTAAGGCAGGGTAATATAAAGTAGAGAAGGCAAAAATGAGATAACATAGGATTGAGGCAAGGCCAGAAGGCAAGGCAAGGCAAGACAAGGCAAGGCAAGGCAAGGAAAGGCAAGGCAAGGCAAGGCAAGGCAAGGCAAGGCAAGGCAAGGCAAGGCAAGGCAAGGCAAGGCAAGACAAGGCAAGGCAAGGCAAGGCAAGGCAAGGCAAGGCAAGGCAAGGCAAGGCAAGGCAAGGCAAGGCAAGACAAGGCAAGGCAAGGCATGTACTAAGGCTAGGGTAATTTCTGATAACTTTCTTTTCTCTACAAACTGATTCTCAAATGTTACGATTTTCTTTGAATTTCTCAAAGATTATCATGAGAAAAAGAGCGGTTATCACTTGAATTTGCACAAGTTTTCGTTCTCAAATGCAAAAAAAAATAAAATTTATACAAAAAATTGAAAACTCAAAACGTTTCAAATGACTTGGTAACTTGTATTATTTTGCAACATTTTTCTAAAATTTGATTGGTCTAGCCATTGTTTCACTAGTGATACTAATCTAACACTGTACTTATATTGATTTGTGATGGAGAACAACAAGTTTTATTACAACCATATGGGGTACAATGGTAATGAGTATACTGTAAGTTTAAAATTTAAAATTTTTTTTTTTGAATTTGATTTATCCTTGCTGTTGCCGTTGCCTTGCCTTAGCTTTTACATACCCCTACCCCTACTAAAAATGTTTTATCAACCTTTAACATCTCCATTCCCAATACGTTAACATACACGCTTACCATACGCCATTTATCGCTTAATCCTCTATTAACCTATTGTTCATACCTACATTCATTTATAGCGATATAAGATAATATAATAGCTATGACGTCACAGCAAGTGGCTAGGCGGATCATAAAAGGTTAAAAAAGCTTTCAGGATCTATTACTTCAGGCGTTATCAATAGCTAGTCACTATTCATGGATCTATAGGTAATCTGTGTTCTGGATAGTGAAAAACGTCATTTTTTAGTAAGGTCTTTGACACGGGCTGTCACAATATTTGATATTCTTCTACGATTTTTTTAATTTTTTCAAAAAAAATTAATATTTTTACTTTGTAAAGAAAGTTGTTGTCATTTTTTGTTTGCAAAGAAATTGATGCCGTTTTTACAAAATCTGTAAAGAAAGTTCCTTCCAAAACTCAAAAATCTTCAAAAATGAAATTTTATGCCATTGTAAATAAAGTTATTGCCAAAAAATTAGTTTCTGCACCGTGCGGCGCTATTTGTCTTTTTTGCACAGTGCGAAATCGCGGTCCCGTCCAATCTGGCAAGTTAAGCAACGGTGCGCTTGATTATAAAAAGTTCGAGGAACACTGGGTGGAAAGAAAGTTTCTGTGGTTTTTAGGGTAGTGGAATGAAAGTTTTTGCAATTTTGTGATTTTGAGTTTATAAATAATGGCGTTTTTTGTTTTTTATCTATCAAAAGCTAATTTTTCGAAGTTTTTTGGTTTGTAAAGAAAGTTTTTGCAATTTTTTATTAATTTTCAAAATATTTGTCGTAAGTCTCATTGTATTGGAATGTATAACATGGCACTTTTCAGATGTCAAATCCACCTCAAAACCATCTAAACCACTATCATCCACCAACGTCCCAGCCTGCTCCCAGTCTTGAGAAGCAATGTGCAGAAGCAATCAGAACGACTCAATACTCCAATATGATTTTACCATTGAATTATGATCCAAGAAGCTACAATAATATTCCAGTTCGGCCGATTTCCAGCCAAGAGGACTTGAATGCGCGAAGGCTCCGCGCGCGCGAAGAGAAAAAGGAATTTTATGACAAAGTTAATCAAAGTTATGAAGAAAGAGTTGAGGCTGCAATCAAGGAGAACGATGTGAGCATGAAAAAGTGGTAGGTTAGTTTTAAAGTGTTTGTAAACAAAGTTCTTGTTATTGTTTGTTTTGTAAAGAAAGTTTTTGCCATTTTTGACGTTGTAAGGAAAGTTCTTGCCACTTCACAAAGATATAAGAGTACTTTTAATTTCTGCAGGCTGCAGGTGACAATTTATACGATAGATAGAAATATTAAGTCTGTAAAGAAAGTTCTTGCCATTTTTGCTCAAAAGAAGACGAATCAGCACTGTGCAGCCTGCGGGTGCCATTTTATACGATGAAAGATGCATTTTCGCGTTTTTTTTGAATTTCAAAGATTGTATAGAAAGTTTTTGCAATTTTATGAACACTTTTAAAAAAAGAGTTATTTTTCTTTCGTAAATAAAGTTTTTGCACTCAATTTAAATTTTTTTTAAATAGATATTTTAGGTTTCAAAAGTCAGTGGTAGATCAACAACTTCGCGCTATGAATGAGATGTTCCAACAACAATATAAGGTAAAATACGTTACGGGAAAGGCTGGTCGTTAAATTTGTAAAGATAGTTTTTGCCATTTTCCGTTTTGTAAAGAAAGTTCTTGCCATTTCATTTATTGTAAAGAAAGTTCTTGGTTATTGCCATTTCAATCTTGAAACTTTTTTCAAATTCCAATTTCAGAAGCGAGTTCGTCGCGCACACAAGCCAGCTCGAGACCGAAGTCGTCAACTGTCTCTTCAGCAACCCAAAAACGAGAATAATATTGTTCATGGTCGTCGATATTCGGACTCTCAAGGCATGGCACAACCTCAGACTGCTGAAGAAAAAGTGCAATATTATTATCTGGAAAATGCGACCGACCAACGCAGTATTGCCATGATCAATCAGTACAAAAAGTAAGATTTTGTTGAGGAAGGTAGGATAATATTAAGTGCGCTGGCTTTGATGTGATTTTTCCATAGTTTTTAAGAGTTTTCCCTGAGGGTGTTATAGCTTAAAATGGCCGCAACAGTTTTTCGAGTGTTTTGAGTACAATTTTTGATCGTTAGAATTATGTTTTATAACCGAAAAAAACCAAGATTGACCAAGCAAGTATAATATCGGGTGCGCTGGCTTTGACGTGATTTTTCAGTAGTTTTTAAGTATTTTTTCTTACGGTGTTATAGCTTAAAATTTCCGCAGTGGTCTGGTGAGTATTTTGAGTATAAATACTAGTTGCTACAATACTGTTTGGTATGAGAAAAGGCCGAAAAGCTTGACCAAGCAAGTATAATATCAGGTGCGCTGGAGTTAAAGTGATTTTTCAATAGTTTTAAAGTATTTTTCCTGAGGGTGTTATAGCTTAAAATGATCGTATGAGTCTAGTGAATAGTTTGAGTGTGTGCTCAATATTGTTAAATTTAGTTACCGGTCGAAGAAGATGCGAAAATGTCAGCAAAAGTAGGATAATACTGGTTGTGCCGCACGTCAAGAAAAAATAAAAGAAAAACAATTATCCAGAGAAAATCGCTTGGCATTCCGCAACAAGAGGAAACAAATAGTATGTTAACTTTATTTTTTCGACACGTTAAAGTGCAGATATCACAAAAGTGTTTAATAAAAATTAAAAAGCAACACTTCAATTCCCTAATTTAAAAAATCTCTTTGTGTTTGAGCGCATAATAAAAATTTGGTTTCCATCTTAAAAATACGCTTTTCCAAAATCTAAAATACGCCATAACTTTGCAACGAGCACATGAGCAGCTATAGCGGTAGTAACAGTTAGATTAAGGAGGTAATAAGGAATAATTTGATGCTAAAAACGTCTGATTCTATGGAGTAGAACTTGAGTTATCAAGAGATATCAGTTTCATGTTATCCATGCAGAAATTTTTCATTAATTTTTTGGCGGGATTTTCCTCTGAAAATTATTTTACCTTGTTTTTTATTTAATAAGAATCTTTAATTGTTGTATTTTTTACCTTCTTTATCCTTAAATAACCTCGAAACTACATTAATAATAAACCCGAAAGACATTTTCGAACAAGAAAAGCTAAAGAAAAAATATTTTTCCGCTGTTTGAGAAATGCCAAAAATCTGTTCAAGACGCAAAAGCAAAATCGTTTTTTCTTGATGTGTGCCGGCTTTGATGTGATTTTTTGGTAATTTTTAGGTAATTTCCTTGAGAGTGTTATAGTTTAAAATGACCGCAAGATCATCGTGAATATTTTATGTATAAATTTATTACTGTAACATTTCGATTCGAAAAAATTACAAAATGTTTGAGTAAAATAGGTTAATATTAGGCAATCGTCAAATTTGAACAGATATTTGATTTTGCGTATTTTACATTACTAATAGATTAAGTAATGTTTTTCAGATCACAACAAGCCGCAGAAGGTCGTCCAGCTACTTCGAACGTGTTTATGTCACTAAACGGCTTGTCATCTTCATCTAATAACAAGAATTTGAATGCTCCTTCGATTAAACTTGAACCGGATGAGCCGATGAAATCAAGATTTCAAGAAGGTACGGTTCAAAATATACATTCTGACTACGATTCTGCCACTGAGTTGGACAAATTATTCGATTTTTTAACTTAATTCTGTGATATGACATTATTTATTATATTTAATATGGTATGTTAAACGTATGTTAACGTAATTTTGATAAAGTATGACTATGTAGTTCATTGTATGGCGGGATATGGGGGAAAAGTAGGGGTAGAGTTGGGTTAATCGTAAGAGAGGAGTAGAGTTAGGGAGGGCAGGGTGGGTAGTTTATGATACGGTGGGAGTATGGCCAATGATAGGGTAGGGAAAGGTAGGTTTTACGAGGGTTGGGCAGGGTAGGGTAGAATACAATATATGTAGGAAGGAAAGGCAGAGAAGGCGTAGGGTAGTTCATGGCTATGATAGGGGAAGAGGTAGTGTAAGGCAGTGTGACGTAAGTTACGGTAAGGTAGGGGTAGAGGTAAGAATATAGGTCGGCTAGAAGCAGGGTATGGGTGAGGGTAAAGCAGGGTAATGTAGGATAGGGTAGTATAGGAGAGGGCAGAGTAGGGTAGGGTAGGGTAAAATAGGGCATGTAAACAAATATTAATGGTATATTTAGTGTTCTCTTCATTAAAAATTAATGCCAATACTTTTTGCATCCATTTGGCTGCATTAAAAAGTAAGGAACTAATAGAAAAAGGGCTCTTAATTCTGTCACATTCAACTTTTGAAATTTGTGTCGTTTCAAAAAATTTGGCAAGGGTTTTTCAGTTGATAAAGCTATTTTTTAAAGTAAAGATCATGTAAAAGCATTGTCAAAAAGAATTTGTAAAAAAAGTTTTTGCGTTGTTCCTACTTTTCATTTTTTGACAATTTTTTTCAATTCTTGAAGTGGTATTCTTTATCAACGCAAATTCAAAAAAAAATGTAAAAATTTTCTTTCCACTACCTTAAAAAATACAAAAATTTTGTTTCCACTCAGTGTTCCTCGAACTTTTTATAATCAAGCGCACCGTTGCTTAACTTGCCAGATCGGACGTGATCGCGCTTTCGCACCGTGCAAAAGAGACAAATGGCACTGCACAGTGCAGAAATTAAATTTCTGGCAATAACTTTGTTTACAATGACATAAAATGGCGTTTTGTAGGTTTTTTGAAGATTGGCCAATACTTTCTTTACAAGTTTTTAAAAAAATTAAGGTTTTTAGACATTTCTTGTGAAACTGCAATAACTTTTTTTACAAAACAAAAAATAGCAAGAACTTTCTATACAAAACAAGAAATGGCAAGAACTTTCTTTACAAATCAAAAAATGGCAAGAACTTTCTTTCCAGATCCAATTCTTTTTATTTTTAATAAGCATTTGCAGGAAAAATTGCAAAAACTTTGTTTCCGCCTCATAACACTGCCATAATTGCACCTCCCCTCCCCCCTTTAATACTCTCCTTTTTTGTTTATGATCTCTGAACTTTGAAAAAAGGACAGCCGACTGCCCTTTTGGCCGTCCAAAAATAGAGCTTCATTTGGGAAAAAATGAAAAAAATCTCTTCACGCGTGCCATTTGAGAACGTTGTGCTCAACGTTCTGTAATTTCGTTGGTTATGAGATTTTGTTTTTAATATTATGGTGTTATGATTAGGTATTCCTATTCATATATAGTAATATAAGGCTTGTAATAGTATATGGGTGGAGGTAGGGGCATATATATGGCCTGTAAGGGAGTCTGAGTGAAGGTAGGGGTGTATGTATAGCCTGTAATGGAGTTTGAGTGAAGGTAGGGGTACGCATACATGGCCTGTAACGGGGCATGGGTGAAGGTAGGGGTGTTTATATGGCTTTTAATGGGGTATGGGTAGAAATAAGGGTATATATATGACCCGTAGTGCAATATGAGTGGAGTTAGGGGTAGGCTGTTCAAAATATAGAAATTTTTGCATTTTTTGAGTTGGAAAGAAAGTGCTTGCCATTTTTTGTTTTGTAAAGAAAGTTCTTGCCATTTCTTGTTTTGTAAAAAAAAGTTCTTGCCATTTTGCGTTTTGTAAAGAAAGTTCTTGCCATTTTGCGTTTTGTAAAAAAAAGTTCTTGCCATTTTGCGTTTTGTAAAAAAAAAGTTCTTGCCATTTTGCGTTTTGTAAAAAAAGTTCTTGCCATTTTTTTTGTTTTGTAAAGAAAGTTCTTGCCATTTTGCGTTTTGTAAAAAAAAGTTCTTGCCATTTTGCGTTTTGTAAAAAAAGTTCTTGCCATTTTTTTTGTTTTGTAAAGAAAGTTCTTGCCATTTTGCGTTTTGTAAAAAAAAGTTCTTGCCATTTTTTTTGTTTTGTAAAGAAAGTTCTTGCCATTTTGCGTTTTGTAAAAAAAAAGTTCTTGCCATTTTGCGTTTTGTAAAGAAAGTTCTTGCCATTTTGCGTTTTGTAAAGAAAATTTTTACTATTTTTTAAAAGTGGATTATAGGCAAGGCGACGTATTTTACAATTTCCTTTTGTTTTTAGTGCACGCAACCTTTTGATTGTAGTTGTTGTTTATGTCTCCAACTTTTTAATTTGCTAATTTTGACTATTTTAATCAATTTTTTGTCTTGTTTTTTGAATTTTAAAAGGTTTAAACATGAAGTAACTTGCATTACAGCAACACAACAAAACGCTTGAGGATTCTAGATTTGTTTGTTATGGAGGAGTTGCGTTATATAGAAGGTTTAAGCGCATTGTGTATTAGAAAGTGGGGATTTTAAAGTTGTTCGTTGTACGAGAGCTTCGTTATATAGAAGTTCGTTATACAGGAGTTCTACTCCACACATCCGCACAAAAGGCCCCCACTTTCCCGCCCGTATAGTGCGGGCCTTTTGTAGGACAAGATACAAGCGTAACAGCTACCGAGTGCTGGTCAACCTTGTGCTTATGAAGGTTGACTAGCACTTACCAACTGGCTGACTGCAAGTGTTACAAGCCGGTGGTTTATACTTTATAGACCCGAAACAAGACCAGCTAAGCTTGGCTCGGCTTCTTTACAGGTATAGTATCACACAAATCTACTCGTAGACGTGTTTTTGGACCAAGTACTTTGGGTTAAGTGGAGCGAAAGGTTACAAATTTCGGGGAGGGGTGGTAATTTTAACGTTAGGAGTAGTAAAGTTGGTTTTAGGATGTTGGGGGTCGGTAATCTGGTTTTAAAGCTTTTTTTTGTTATGTAAAGAAAGTTTTTGCCATCTCAGTTTTGTAAAGTTCTTGCCATTTTGTGTTTTGTAAAGAAAGTTCTTGCCATTTTTGAATTGTAAAGAAAGTTCTTGCATTTCTCATTTGGTAAAGAAAGTTCTTGCCATTTTGTGTTTTTTAAAGAAAGTTCTTGCCATTTATTAGTTTGTAAAGAAAGTTCTTGCATTTTTGTTTGTTTTTTAAAGGATTTTTCGTCATTTTTACTGATATTATTCTTTTATTGCAGTAGGTAGCAATTTTAGCTATTCGGCCTCAGGTCTAGTATAACACAACAAAGCCTCAGCCTACTTTGTGCCTATTAACAACCATAACTTTTCAACAGTAACAATCTAGCCCATTGTGTAATCAAAAGACAGCTGGTTTCCTGCATATTAACTGTCTTGTAATAGGTATAAAAACTAACAAAACCACACTTCATTTGAGCACATTTACTGCGTATATATGTCGTGTAATGTAGTGGCAAAACAATTAGTTTAGGGGGAGGTGGTAGAGTCTTGGACACGATAAGATACAATACTAAATAGGACAATTTTAGCATGTGTCATGGCTGGTTTAGGTATAATTTTTGATAATTGAACAGCGTTTTTATACCTTTTTTTGTGTTTATAGACATACAATTATGTTTTTGTAGTATTTTTTAATTGCCATCTAGGTTTTCTTTTTTTTCTTTACACAATGTTTCTTTTTTTCTGTTTTTTCTTGACTCGGCCGTCCTCTCTTTTTCTCTGTTCTCTCTCAAATACACCAGTCTCTCTCTCTGTCTTTCCAAATCTGCCGTTCCCCTTCCCTTTCTCTGCTGTCTCTTTTGTCTACTGTTCTTCATTTCTTTTTCTGATCCCTGTTAATTGCACCAGTCTCCGTTATCTTTTTTTCCACTGTTCTTTGTCTTTCTCTTTATCTCTTTTATTCACCGTTCTCTCTCTTTCTCCTAGTTCTCTCTTGTAAACACTGTTCTCGCTGTTTCTCTGTTCTCTCTCTACTTCACCAGTATCTCTCCCTCTCTCTCTCAAATCTACCTTTATCCCTTTCTTTCTCCGCATTCTCTTCAACAGTTCTTTCTTTCTTCCTCTGCTCTCTCTATTAATTTGGCTGTTCTCTTTCAATTCCACCAGCCTCCTCTCTCTCTTTCTCTGTTCTCTCTTAAATTCACCAGTCTGTCTCTCTTTCTCTGCTGTCTTTTGAATCTGCCGTTCTCTGTTTATTTCTCTGCTTTCTCTCTCTCTCTTTAAAATCTACCATTCTCGCTGTTTTTCTGCTCTCTCTTTTATCCCCTGTTCTACCTTCTTTCCAATTTTGTCAGCCGTTCTCTTTCTTTCTCTCTGCTCTCTCTTAAATCTACTAGTCTTTCTCTTTCTCCGCTTCCTCTTGAATCTACAGTTATCTTTCTCCCTATTTCTCAGTCCTTCTTCGAACTCGCCATTTTCTCTCTTTTTCTCTACCCTCCCTTAATCCCTCCCCTCTCTCTCCCCTTCTCCCTTCCCAACCCACCGTTCCCCTCACCGTGCTCTGGCTTGTTTTTTACAAAAAAAATTTTGTTTGGCCGTGAAATGCCGTCGAATGTCTGTCCTTCTCTCTCTTTTTTTCGCTTCATGCCCAGCGGGCACGGGGGGCCCCGGGCATGGTGCTATTGTTTTTTATGAGCACATTTACTGCGTGTACCTTGTTTATGCCGCGATAATATTTATGTTCGTGGACGTGTTTTTGGATGGGTACTTTGGGTTAAAGTGGGGCGAAATGTTACAAATTTTGGGGAGGGGTGGTATTTTTCAGGTTAGAGGTAGTAAAGTTGGTTTTGTGATATTGGGGGTGCGTAATATGGTTTTTAAAGCCTTTTTTTGTTTTGTAAAGAAAGTTCTTGTCATTTTTTGTTTTGGAAAGAAAGTTCTTGCTATTTTTTGCT